CATACAAGGTAATAATCTTAAGCCCTCAGGGTCTCTGAGGCTAATTCTTGACTCTGCTCATCTGTTACCAAGTAGAATAAAATGCAACAGGTTTGCAACAAGAAGCTGGAAACATTTGGGCCTCTGCTCAGGCCTATTCCTAGATTATATGTATTATATGTACTGTAAGCATGCATTGCAGTTATCCTTCTATGTTCTAGTTTCCCTCAGCATGTATCACCTGGACAGTCACGCCAGTGAAGCCTAAGACCCTTAATGAACCAAACATCAACTCAAAATAAGCACAGATATGCAATGTGTATAAAATACTTCCAACCGTACTTGTAATAAAAGTTAACATAATGGAAGGATCCTCAAATGGACATCTTCAATCAACAACTTTAATCCAATATCAATACTGTGAGAAATATTATTGGATGAAATAATGAGGATGGATGGTTGGAATAATGCTGTAAAGAATGTTATTAATGCAATTATAATGATGCAGATTATATGGCAGCAATAAAAGAATTTCTGGATCTCCACATTCCCTCCTTTGACATTCCAAAAGGAATGTCACCACACCTCGTGTTGTATCACTCCTCGGCCCATTCTATGGCATCTAAGTTCCTCAGGTAGATTGAATCCACCCGTCCAGGGTCCGCAACCCTAGCCATCATTTTTACCAACAATCCTTTGACACAGGGAATGATACAACAACCACAGGTGAACAGTATCCCTAAAAGTGTAGCGAATGAAACCATTGCTGACATAGCCAAACCTTTCTACCGTCCAAACACGGATGCCACCCAGGACTCCACTGGGTTTCCGATACCTGAGTGCTCATGCATCGTTTTAGACAAATTTCCAGGCCCTCCAGAGCTCGGGTTACTGAGCCATCTGGGGCAGAATTATTTTTGGGGATAAAGGTGCAGCACATGTCTCCGAACATAGCACAGACGCCCCCTTTTCTCCGCCAACAACATGTCAAGGGCCATTCGATTCTGCACTCCCATCAGTCACTGTTCTTATGTCCTTGGAGCAAACTGTGACCACATAATTTCCTCAGGGATTAATAACGTATTCAGATTCTAATAACTCTATTAATGGTATTTATGTGGACTTCACAGCATATTAGTACAAGTTTCCTACATTTGACAAAGGACAAAAAATGCCTGTATTTCAACTGCATTTATTATTGTTTATGACCTGTTTAACTACATCACAGAATTAATTAACTGATGTTAACAATAATGAGTTCCAGTCTAACCCAGTACCTGGGTGAGTTGTAGAAAAACATAGAGTGAAGAAATACAAATGGAGAATATATGAAAAAACAAACATCTTAAATCGTTGTACACTAACCAGTAGTTCAAGGAGTTCCTGGACTTACAGTAAGTCAGAAAGCACTCACCTCTGTATTTTGCATCACACAGAAAATACACACTAGGCTAAAGGAACAATGGTGCAATTTTCTTTATTTTTCCTCATAGTGGTCATGCTTTTCTTATCCGCTGCTTTGGTCTGCTGAAAAAACTACCAATAGGGCAAATGTCACTGGAAAAGATTTAATGTTTTTGTAGAAGTTGTTACAAACAAAGGTGGGTTGAAATTAGCATAAATAAGGACACTACACTACACTTTCCTCCGCATTAATCACTCCTGTCAACTTCTTACAGTTTAACACATGTGTACATACTCTTCTGTACACACCCTGAACACATGCTAAGATTCAGGCTCCACAGTGAGATGCAAATGCTAAACGCAGTCTCGTGTTTAGGTGTCACACATCTAAATAAAGTTAATCAACTGGTTAGCTGCACAAACCTAACAGTAACTTATACTAGACTTGAACCCACAGTGAGGTGCTCTGCAGCCATCTACTGAGTGACATCTGACAGAAACATGTTTTATGTCTATTTGTTCATATTTTACAAAATCATGTTAAAAATTTTTTTATGGAAAATCCATATAAGAACTAAATTGTCAGTAATTCCACTGCTACACATCAAAAATCAAATTATTTAGGAAAGTTTAAATAAGTGTAAACAAATATGGTGCTGCCCTGATGCATCTTAGAGTAACACAGTAAACTGAACCTGCCAATCAGTGAGGTGGTGTCATGCTGTAGTGTGTTCAATGCGACCTTCTCCCTTTTGGCTTCGCACTGTCAAAAGTCTGATTGATTTAAGCAGAATTTTGTTTCAAAAGCAGAGCTGTGTGCAGGAGAATGAATCTCCTACAGTGCTCAAAAGCAGATTTACTTTTGTCTTTATGATGCTTTGTGCACTTGGCTCATACCTGCACGTGTAGGTTATTGGATTTACATATAAAAAATCAACTGGCCAAGTGTCAATGAATGTCTATTTACTCATGGGGTGTGTTCTGTACTCGACTTGACAACCTGCTCCAGGTAAGTTCCGGTTGCTTGATCATTTTGTCTTTTGGATTGCAAATGTTTGATTTCTCTTACTAAGATAAGCGGTTATAATTTCATGCACACAGAAGTTGCCTCTGTTCAGGGAGGAGCCCTGGTCCGAGAATGTGCTGACCACACACACACACACACACACACACACACACACACACACACACACACACACACACACACACACACACACACACACTTGTGATACTTCCTCTATCTTTGAGGATTTATGATAGAGTGACTTGAACACACTGAGTCAAGCAAGTCCTCTCCTCTGTCAGACGAGCAGAGGGCAAAGACAGATAAGATCATTAAGATCAGTAGTATGATTCTCACATCTGTTTAGATTCCTCAGGCTTCTTGTTGTATTCTTCTTGTAAGTCTTCCTCCTGTCATACACAAGTAATAAAAAAATTTTTGTCCTTCTAATGATTTGTTAATAGTTGCTCTGACATGATACAGAACCCACACACACAGTGTTGTAGGTTGAGTTAACCCTAACCAGGGGGATGGCCAGGCACTCTTTCTCTACTGTGCTGTACCCGGCCTGCAGCTTGGGTTTCGGCACCACTGCGACAAAATAAAGGACCCACGCGCACAGCGTTGTAGGTTGACTGTTTTTATTTTCAAACTGTCCTTGCAGCAGCTGCCCTCCCCCTGCTTCGTGCCATGAACAGTTGTAACATACTCAAATGGGGAGACATGGTCAGATGATGGAAGTCAGCTGTGTGAATCAGCCTCCCCTGATACCACACCCCAAACCAACTGCTCCACCCCTACTTCTGCAGCTGAGCCACAAAGCACACTGCACCATAGTTGGGTTTCTATTTGTGACAGACTTTTCTTCAAGCATTTGACAGAGAGATTTCTCTGTTAACATTTGAGAAGAAGATGGAAACTCCAACATATGAATATTATGACAGCACTGGGCTTTTAGCTGAACCATGCATGAGGGTCAGTGACAATATTTTGGGAGCTCAACTGTCCATCCTGTCCTACTTCATGTTTGTCTTCAATCTCACTGTCAATGGCATAGTCCTCATCATCATCTACCGGTGAGTTGTCCAACAAAACTTCGTACTGATTTAACTTGCTTGATTATATGTATTCACATAAGCTGTTATTTACACTAACTTTCAATATTAGTTTAGGCTCAAATTCCTACAGTTGTGGTCAAAAGTTTTCACTCACTTCTTCTTCTTCTTTTCTACATGTTTCTATGATATACAACAATCCCAAGTTTCACAAACTTTAACTGGCAATTAAAGAGGAGTGCATAGCTAACATGACTAACCTGTTAGTGTTCACTGATTTGGCAATATCTGTCACTTCTGGTAAAAAACTTCAAGCAGCTATTTTGTAAGAGATACAAGAGAAAAGCAGCTTACGTGTCTCACAGTCCAGACAAACGTCATCCAACTCTTTTTTATCACTGCATAATCCACCTTGTGGGTGGATTTATGTACATCACTGCTTAAAAAAACATAACAAGTCTCTCAAAGTCTGTCAAACTGGACAGTCAAACTTTACTGTTTGACCCTCCAGACATTTTACACTGCATCTCACCAAAATTATTATCTAATCCAATAAATAAATACAAATAACGGTGAACTATTCTTATACACAACTTCCTCATACTACAAGAGCAGATGACTATGATCTATATTTGTTTTGGCTATACCACGTTTGGAAAATCAGACACTTATTGCACCCGCTGCATCCACAAAGCCACCAGCGTTGTGGAGGACATCACACACCCCTCACACACACTCTTCACCCTGCTGCCTTCTGGCAAGAGGTACCAGAGCGTTCGGGCCCTCACTGCAAGACTGAGACACAGTTTCTTCCCCCAAACCATCAGACTCCTGAACATTCAGTGACTGGACTGACACACACACACATCACACACATCCCAGGCCTGGCGTAGATGGCACTGTTTATGTGATGCAATGCCACATCTGACCTGATTGTGGTTTGGTTTATGTGGCCCAGGCTCATAGAAAACCGTTCTGGCCCGGATCTGGAATCAAGCTGGCACTTCGGACTGACTGGTGTCATGGCACCAGTAAGTCTACACAGAGGTAATCCACACGTGGGCCAGCACAGGACCACCAGTGTGTCTGCAGCTGGCCTTGTGCTGGCCCATGTGTGGGCCACCTCTGGCAGATCTGGGCCACCAAAGGCCCATCATTCTTTGTGGTTTGTGGGCCATCTTCAAGCACATTGTGTGGGCCAGATCTGGGCCATACTAATTTTGCTATTCGGGATATTATACAGTAGGGCAAAAAAGTATTTAGTCAGCCACCGATTGTGCAAGTTCCCCCACCTAAAATGATGACAGAGGTCAGTAATTTGCACCAGAGGTACACTTCAACTGTG